GCAGGTTACCTGCCCGTTGACACCTGAGTCAAGGTCGTTCACGCTAATTAGGGCGATGACAGTACCGAATTGAGCGTCTTCACGTACAGGCAAGGATAAGGAAGTCAATGTTATCTCAGGGACGTTATCATTTTTATCCAAAATTCTCACTAAAACGGTGCAATGACCCGCCATGGGAGGATGGCCTTTGTCCGTTGCGTCAATGCGGATTTTATATAAATTTACTTGTTCAAAATCCAAATTACCCCGAATCACTATTTCTCCTGTATTTCGATCTATGCTAAAGTGGTCAATAACCATAGTTGCAACAAGGCTGTTAAAAGAGTATGAAATGGCCCCATTCGTTCCTTCATCCCGATCAGAAGCATTCAGTCTGATAACTGTTGTTCCGTTGTCTGTGTTTTCGAATATTCTTACTTCGTATTCAGACTGTTCGAAAGTGGGAGCATTATCATTCACATCCAGCACTGTGACCAGCAGGTGAACAGTGCCTGTGAGCTCAGGTTTGCCGCCATCTGTGGCTGTCAGGAATAAGTTGTGTGCAGGAGCGTCCTCTCTGTCCAAGGATTTTCTTAATACGAGCTCAACCAGTTTATTCTCATTGTTCTTTGAATTCACATCTAGCATGAAGTAATCATGAGAGCTAAGCCTGTAAGTTAACACGGAGTTAGCTCCAACATCTGCATCAGACGCGCTCTCTAGCGGAAACCGAGAGTCTGGCATTCTGGATTCTGAAACAAATAGCTTTTGCTCTTTTACCGGGAACACTGGCGGGTTGTCGTTAATGTCCTTCACTTCCACGTCCACATGGAAAACCTGCAGCGGCCTGTCCACGATCACCTCCAGGTGGATGCTGCACTCCGCGCTCCTCCCGCACAGCTCCTCGCGGTCTATCCGAGAATTCACAAACAAAATGCCATTCTGCAGATTTACCTCCAGAAGGTCCCCGTGTGTTTTGGATGCCACCCGGAACAGGCGCGGCACCAGCTCCGCCAGCTCCAGTCCCAGGTCCTGCGCGATGCGGCCTACGAAGGTGCCGTGTTTGGCCTCCTCGGAGACAAAGTAGTGGAGCTGGCCGCTCCCCGCCTTCCAGGCTGCGAGGAGCAGAAGCGAGAGTAGTAGTCGCCGGGATCCCGGGTCTCCTCGCCAGTGACAAACCATGTTAAATAGTCGTTTCCTATCAGAAAATCTTATCTTAATATGAAGATGAACGACTGTACTTTCCGGCGTCTTTTAATTCAATTCCGCTGCATCTCCCATTGTTCAGCCTTTAGAGACAGATGCTGTCAGAGGAACGACTTTGAACCTTGGCTAACCAGAACTTCTTAGTAGACAGCGACATCATGTGGCTTCAAAAGGTAATGATTACATGAATTACTTCCGCAATATCTGGGTTCTTTCATGCACCTTCTATTTCTTTATCATACTTTAATAGTAAATCCTTAACTTCATCAATTGCAGAGGTATTCATACCGTCTGGCTCCTTACATTAGTTTCATCTAGGGATTTCTTCTTCATAAGGAAAGGAATTTCTTCCCAATATTTTAAATATCGTATCAATTAATAATAAAGTATGACCTGTATGTCATGGATATCAGAAATGTAAACTGTCCTCCATAGTTTCGTGTGGAAGAAATGCATTAATATTTATTTGGTCACCAGAAACACTGGCATATATTACTCTGAGGTGAGCATATAATTCTAACTTTTCTACATTTTATCTTCTTGTGTTCTTATTGTTACATTTCTGCTTTTCTTTATTCAATAAATGTCAAATTGCCTGAACAGTTTTACTTACTAAAGCAATAAAAATGTATGTGCATATTCTTTACACTATTTCCCGATATCTCTATAGCTTGTTAAATTCAGCCTCTCACTTAAAACATTTTCCTCTATGATTTCTCTGACATGTCAAACTCTAGTAGTATTTCCACCATTGGCTTGTTTGTTAGTTCTTCATCTTTCTTCTGCTCCAAAAAGTGAGTATTTTCCAGAATTATGCCTTTAACCTTTTTTCCCCAATCTTTTTATTTAACATTTCTATTTCCAGGGCTTTAAACTAGCCTATTATTTGAAGTATTCTTAACTCCATATCTGCAACCCCCTATTTTCATTTTCTACCTGACATTTTAACCTGTATACCCTAACATTGCCTAGAAAATGAGTCAACCAAAGTTAGAAGAATAATCAATAATCACCCAAAACCCAAATCATTAAAAAATCACAATTTTTATAGCATGGCAATTCTCCACACTTACTCATATGTATTTTTATTATTTCTTTTCCCTTGCCTACCATATTTAAAGTTTGTATACATCCCATCTCTCCTTTCATGTGAGATAATTTCTGTCTTTATTAGTACAGCTTTCACTCGATTGCACTAAAATCTTCAGCAAGTTTATCTTTTTATTGACCAATTGTCAAGACATTAGACTTCCATCTGGGAGATAGGCTACATGACCATGAGCCAATCTTCTCGGTGCTAAGGCTAACCACTTTCCAATATGAGTCATATTTTACAGAAAATATGTTGTCTCTTTGTTGGTACACTCTTTGTTCAAGGTTTTTCTTCTATTACTTCATCTTTATGTGTCAAAATTCTATTCATCTTTCAAAGTCCACCTCAAAAGTAAATTCTCCATGAATGCCTTCATTGTAGATGATTAAGAGCTCCTCTGAATTTCTACAAAATTCTTACCAAAAACGTAGGTAAAATAGGAAAGGTCAATAAGGGCATTTTCTGTGAAATGATTTAAATTTCTCATCACATTATTTACACAAAAAAATATTTCTGTAGTTGACTCTAAATAGTAGCAAACAATTTGTAAAGAAAATAGTATTTCTGGATATTTCAGGAGTTTGAGACCAGCCTGGGCAACATGGTAAGACCCCATCTCTACAAAAAATACAAAAATTAGCTGAGTATGGTGGTGTGCGCCTGTAGTCCCAGCAACTTCGGAGGCTGAGGTAGGAAGATCACTTGAGCCCAGGAGGCAGAGGTTGCAGTGAGCCCAGATTGTGCCAGTGCACTGCATCCTGGGCTACAGATTGAGACCCTGTCTCAAAAATAATAATAATAATAATAATAATAATTGATGAATACAGTTTGGGTGGCTAAGAAGGATAAATCAACTTCAAGTATTTCCCAATTTAGGGAATTCCTATTTAGGGTATTTAAAACTTTCTTAATAATACACTAGGAAGGTTTTAAATATACATGCATGTAACCATAAAAACAAAGCAATGAAAACAGAATTACAATTACCATCTTTGAAGGTCAAAGATATTTATAGATTTTTCCACAAAACAATATTCTTTCAACAAGAGCAGCAAACTTGGTCTGCTTGTGGTGAATGACATATTACTGCTCAATGGTAAATAATTATATTGATTACCAAACAGATTTTTGACTTTGTATACCTCTACCCTTATTCACGTTGAAAAGAAAACAGTAACATATCCTAAAATGATTTCCTAAAGTATATTAGAATATTAGGAACAGTGAAAATTGATCATCAGTTCTGGGTTTTATTTTATTTTATTTTATT